ATGGGGGCCAGTTGAACTGAGCCCTGAAATGTTCAGCCCAACGGTCCAGACGGCGTTGCTGATCGTGAATCAGTGTGCCATCGGATTCCTTAATTACCTCAAGCCCATTTTCCTGGAACCCGTATTCCTAATTAGATGGAAAAGGTTATGACTATCACCAATAGCCGCAGCTTTCTCCATCTCTTTGCACTTTTCTACCCAAGTTGTAAATGCAGCTGACGTATCGTTGTTGTGTATTTTGCACCCTGTTTGAACTACTCCCACGCATTTCGTTTTACCTCCGTTTTTCCCGTGTTATTTCAGTCGCGGCAATGTTTCGTACACGGTTTTTCTCAATCTCACCAAATATCTTCGAGCGGAGGATAGCTATGTGGCCTGGGAAACGGCTCGCCGCACTTTCATATTTATCATGCGGATGCTCATCATGGAACCGAGTTACGGTCAATTCAATGCTTATCTACGCGGACTGGTAGATCGACAAATCAATCAGGTCGATTGGTCGACCATGCAAGAAGACACGAATCACATGCAACAGTGAGCCCCTTAAGCGATTCCCTTAGTACTAGTAGTAGTAGTAGTAGTAGCAGTAGTAGTAGTAGTAGTAGTAGTAGTAATAATGCTGACAGTTTTCATCCCTGAACAATTCTCAGGTACGGTTTCCCTAACTGGTACGGATCCGTCTCTTTCCGGTGAAAGAGAGGCATGTTACATCTGATTCAATGGAGTTGGAGAAACCTATATTGTTCTTCTGTCCAGCATAGATTGACCTCAAAATCCAGACATATTTCTATCTTTATTTGAAGATGATATTCGAAGAAAATTAACTCAGTGATTCAAATTTGTCTGAAGTGAGGAAACATTGGACTGTGTATCGTTTAACTTTGAAGTCAAATCAAATTGTTACCCATAGTAAGAAAAACAGAGTACCGCCCAAGCTCCTTTGCGGTGACTTTTCTACAAGCTAATACGTGACAATTTACAGTCAATCTCTTGCTATTTCGCACCCATCGCGAATTCGAAAAGGTGGATAAATTCCAGGATCTGCGACATTGGATAATAATAATTAGTAGATGCTATTAAGTAGTACAAAAATCGGTTGACAGTTTTGTGACAAAACAAACCGGGTCGATGAAAAGTAGGATAATTCCATTACTTGTTCCTAATGATTATCATCATTCACTGTTTATTTATAATGGAATTTACTTTTACCGTCCTGTGTATCCTTTTAGTATCCAACAAGTTTAAATATATTATGACGCCCGTAGCTTAATATCGATACATGGCGTGCAATATTCAGCCTTTGTTCAGTTCTAATTGTCTAGATCTTTTCCCATCAAGCTTTAGCCAAAACCCGAAATGCTTTAGTCACGACCCGCAGTCCTTTAGCCTCGACGCACAACCTTTAGTCACACCACCGTAGGGGAGTCAGAACAAAAACTATCGGTATATTCTGAGGTCAACGAATGTTGAAAAAATTTGTTTTACAAATTTTCATATTGCAAAGCTTGACTAATAAATGGGAAGGTGTGACGACCGTACGCCGCGCAGTTGACTGTAGTAACGGTATCAAATGCCACACCACATAGTGATTGGAGTAGGTTTAGACGATGTGCCCGTATCGTCAAGCCATTTGGTACATCT